GGTTTTACTATCATTGAACCAGTTTCATCTGCTGTGAAGTTCTCTGCTAGCATGATACGATAATAGAAAAGCAAATCGTTTTGAGGGTCAGTCGTCAGTTATATGAACGAAAAAATATGTTGGAACATGAATAAGGTATCATCAAAATCTCTAAAATAATAACGAAACATTAGATTCAGGGTGGACGATCGAGTTATGTCAAAGAAAATCAGTTTATATTATATATGTTTTCATTCTTTGTCAGCCACATTAATCAAAAAAATATTGGCAAGTTCACACCACAAATCCAAAAAGGATCATTTTCGAGCATTCTAAATACTTATAGAAAAGTGTGAGCCAATACTTTTCAAGTTCAAACGAATTGAACGAATTTCCCTCTTCAAATTTTCACCTGCTACGCCCATCCATTTCCCTTTTGGATTTCATCTAATTTTTTTAAGTCCAATACCATTACCATGGCTGCTGGAATTGTCTGAATTTACCATAAAGGAGGGTCTCAATTAGATCAACCGTTAGCCGTAATACGGCCAAAAACTTAGCTGCTAGCCGTAGTGATTGATAAATTTTAATCGTCAGTCGTAAAAATTCTAGCCCTATAGAATTGTCTCTTCCTACAGCGTGTCATCTTCTGTCATTTTTGGTTAGCCGTTAGTCGTAAATTGGCCAAACTTTTAACCATTGGCCGTAAAAACCATCGCCCCATCGAGACCCTCTGAAAGTCGTATGACTCAGTGCTTTGTCTTCAATTTGACAGTGGAAGAGAACTTTTTAAGTCCCACTTGCTATCAGCGATTCTTATCAGGTTCAATGTACATGTGTAGAACTGATTTTTTGCATTTTCTTACCCGATTGAGCCTTTCTCTTCAATTCTTCAGAAGATTCACCGGAATCTGGAGACTAGACATTAATGAAAAGAACTAAATAGCGACTAACGGCTTTAATGTCTATCGAAAACAGGAAAAGGTCCAGAGAAGACACATTTCAGAATTTGAATGTATGAACATGTTCATGATTTTGCGATGGGTTTTTTTTTGTGTAAGTTGTTTTAATTCTCATGAAACCTGCCCTTCAGAGAATCTCCCTATTTGTACCTTGGGCTCTGATCGGCTCCTTGTGGTAGCTCCCTTTGTCTCGCTTGGCCATTGTGATTATTTGGTTTTGGTTTTTCGACATTCCATACAAAAGTGATGTGTGTGCTGCAGCTGCTGCTTCTGCTGATTCCACTATTCATACACAATTACCTTTGAGCAGTTTTCCTCAGCTTTGCCGTTCTGGCCTTCAGACCCAAATTCTTCAGACATTATTCTATAATGAAGTCTCTCCTATATCAGGTGCAAGCTGTTACCTCGAACTATAAAGTAAATTTGAGATATATTTCTCGACGGAGAAATAATGAAAATCTGCACAACACTTGCCGGAAAAGACAGCGCGATATGCTTTGGGGCTTCCGAGTGGTGGCTTTGAAAACAAAGATATTTATGTAGCAGAACAATTTTTGAAATGTTTGCGAAAAACTCAAGTCAGACTTTCCAAGTCAGATCTCGGTCTGCCTTGGGCAGTCGCTGCAGTCTTAACATGACTACAAAGCGATACAAGTCAAAGCAGAGCGCAAAAGATTACGTTACCTCAAATTTTACCACCACCGTGACAGCCCTTGAAATCCATTATAACATGTGAAAAAGTTTTTTTGATTGTTTTTGCGTCCCGAATTCACCTAGCACCGAGGAAACACCGTTGAATTTTCCTTGGCCTAGTGTATTATGACGCAACAAACGTGAACTTTACAGAAAATCCACTGACCAGTACTGGGTTCGAACAGACGGACTCGCTTCTCTCCCAGTGGCATTTGCCCCGGTTTCAAAACGCGTTACAGTGCACAATCTTTCATTTCACTGATGTGCCTGGCTTCCATCAAGAAACATTTTCTAACGCAACACGCAAAACTGAAGGAGAGAAAGTGGCATACGCAAGCATGCATCCGTTGGGCATGATTCAATCATTAACGCACGCGCTCACGCCTTTGCCGGATTCTTAGAATCGCCTTTTTGCCCTGCTTTTGTTTTCGCTTTGTTTTTCTATTTTTGCACGAGGGGCCAAAGTGAGTTGTGCTATGAAACTATAACATTGTCGGCCAGTAAAATGTCAAAGAGTAGTGGCAAGCATGGAGGTTGACAAAGAAAATGAGTTCCCACCTTTTTACTGCAGAAATCACAGACAAGAAAAGCAGCTCCCTAAGTATTACCGATGCCATAGCCGTAGCGCTCCATTTAAAGGTTTCGCCTTCATTTCTTCGTTAAACTTAGGTAGTATTGTTAATCAAACTATTTCAAGTGTCTTTTGAAATCAATAACTTATTTAATTTAAATAGCATAAATAGTCATTAAATTATTTTTAAAAAAATTATTTTATTCCAACTTCCTGCATTGTTTGGCTCTTATTAACATGCTCTTAGCCAGTGCATTTGTTAAGTACTCATGGAAGCGCGCGCATCGATTAATATGCTAAATATATGTTATTCACCGGACGGGAGGTCCGTATTAGGAAAAACTGTGCCCGAGGTCTTGGATACCGACCGAGGGCTCAGTTTTTCCCAATACAGACCGACCTTGGCTGGTAAATAACATTTTTATTTTTTTCCAAAACCTAACAAATGGTTGCGAAAAGAACCTGATTGATAAAAGGCTGTAAGTACGGCAAGATTCTCCATAAACTGAACAATTTATAAGCAAGTAGATGGTAGAGAAAACAAGGGCAATGCAAATGAAAGAGAGAGGTTTCATCAAAACATATTTATTTGCGTAATGATATTAAAAGTGATTTAAAAGGCTTCCAAGAAAACTTCGAAACATTTCTTTAAAAGGATCGGATACCGCCCGCTGTGAGCGGGCCGGATGGGGAGAATACTGCCCGCTCTTGGAACCAAGCAGATTGCAGGATTTGTAGAATACCACCCGCTCACGAACTGAGAAAAAAACAATTGAATATTATCAATTGAGTTGATAACGTAGATTGGCCACCGTTAAGAGTTTGAAAGGTGAAGTTTCGAGCGTCAGCGCTTCGTCAGAGCGAATGGACGAATTGTGGGTTGTGCGTGCGTTTATATGCAGAAAATGGAGCTGCGCTATTGTTGGGAATAGGGTGAAAACAAGAACAAACTAGTTGAATGAAAAGTGCTCGTTGATACCGTGGGGATTAGAGTAACGATTTGAAAGTATCGGTGGTTTTAAGTCATTGTAATTAATAAAAAGGTAGTTGACCTCATCAGGTTTAAATTTTCCGTTTGTAATTTACTTTGCAATATTTTAATATTTTTCGCTTGACGAAAAACCCCGATTCTTTTTTCTACCGAGCAGTTTTCTTTGGGTAGAAATCAAGTGTACGTTTCAAACAGCGAGTTCACCCGATGGGCTCATATAAGGTTTATGAGAAAGAATCGTGTTTTTGCTTGAGGATGTTTGTTTAATGATCGTAATCAATGCTTTCTTGAGGGTATCCAACAAGGTTCTTCAATCTAGCGATCCCGACTAATATTTTCTCTCAGTCCCATAATTCCGACGGCTTATACCGGCCAATCTTGATCATAAAAATGTATTCCTAGTCCATTTCCATTTTTTGGCTGCATTTCCAAACTTTCTTGCGTAATCTAACACCGTGAAAAGTTTATATTTGTGATGCATAACTGAGTGAATATCCTCCACGTCTAGTATCATGCAACTCAAGGGGTTAAGAGCCTCACATCGATATAATTCCGAGACTTTCTGGAGTTTCTCTTTTTGTTACGCCGTTAAGCACTTCAATTGACGCAACAGTTTTAGATGCCACAATACCCTTTGGGCCGTTAAGGATTTTTGGTAAGCTGGTAACTTCGCTTTTGATAGAATTTTCATTCCTGCGCAATTACTGAAGTGTCGCTGACCAGTCCGATCAATTTCATTCTCGTCAACGGATATTCCCGTTCTTGGTTCGTTCAAGTGATTATTTCAGTCCCGTATCTCGCCCCTTAAAATCGCCGATTCCCGTGTCCCGCCGGTATAACATCATTCCCGCATCTCGCCCCCTTCTTACACTAAATTCTCGGATCCCGGCCTTTAAATAAGACCAATCCCGGATCCCGAATAGCCATTGGGGACGCTCTTTTTTGACTTCGTGGACTGTTCGATTTAACATGAAATATAAATCTCGGTTGATGGGTTTTACCGCTGACTAAAAGTCAATGTTCAAATGCAAGCAATATAGATTTCGGTGTTTTCATTCCTTCATAAATTTAGACCAATAAATTTAAGGTATTCGATTACTTCTACAACACAAGCACTTTTTGTTTGTCTTGACGACAAAGTTTACGACCAAGTTTATCTTACATGGTAAGTACCAGGGACCTTAACGCGAACCACGACGCCAATGGCAACAAGGACAAGGCAAAACAAAATATCATAACAGTTGGCAAAATAATAGCTGATCAGCAGGTACCTACTAAACCTTTGTAAATTACTTAGCTGCCCTGTAAAAAACAAAATGAAATCACCAAAATTTGCGTGATCAGTGAACGGAAGCTTAAAATAAGTTTCCATTTGGAACTCAAAGCGGCTCACATACCTTATGCTGAAGTTTCAGTGAAGCGTCGTAAGAAACCGTGAACACACCCAGCCATCCGCAAAATTTTAACATAAAATATAAATACATTTTTTAAGTGACGTCTTCCTCGGCGTTGCCTCAGTTCCTTACTGAAGTGCAAAGTCAGAATGCCTCAGCATATTTCAAAATCAGTAATTTAAAACTTGTACTTGACAGGTTTGTTTTAGATGACCTGTCACACTCTTAATTCCTCTGATCGCACTTTCTCTTATAAAGAACCAAAATTCTTATCACAAGAATAATTTTATTGCCAGTAACTTTGATAAGTTTACATGCAAATACTGATTAAAAAATTCAATAAAGGTTTTTTTTTTATCACAAGTGTATATTTCTCATGTGACCTCTAATGTAGAAGTCAGCTGCATCTATTTGGGATTGAGCTTTGAAAGGAATAGATGTGCATCTTTACTCATTAAGCTGTAGGGTCTAAAAGTTAATAACTATGCAGAGGAAGAAATGAAATACATCAATTTCATTATTGCCAAAGAGCTCTTGGGTAAGTAATTAGTAATTAAAAAATTACTCAAGCTGTAAATACTAGAATGTTGCAATGTTGATTTCCTCACTATTTTGTCCACAAAACATTTCATTATAATTCTCTATGTTACCGCTAGTTCCAACATGAGATTTTCTGTTTGGTATTGTTACATGCAATGTTAGTAGTAAAATTGATAATCATTGGCTACTTTACATATTAAGACTCTTTTTTAGAGCAAGCGAATAACAGTGGACATTTACTCTGGAAAATTCTGCTTATGAAAGCTTTCATGACTGCTTGTCCCTAATTCAAAACGCTTTTCTTTCATTTGTAAGAACTTTCATGACCTTCTTCTCCATGTCCTCCAAGGAAATGGTGACTTTATCCAGTGATGAAAAATCCTGTTTTGAAGCAAAAACATTAATAGCATTGATGTGAATCAAAATTATTCTCCTTACGGTCTGTCATACAGGTCTTGTGATGTTAGTTTGGAGAATTTGGTATTGAATCAACTTTTAATCTCCTAACTGATATTTTTCCTTATTTTCATCACTTGTCTGCTTGATATTGTATTGATATTGTAAGGAGAAATTCTGTCTTGGTCACCAACAGGAGAAATAGAGTTAATAAAATATCATACCTTCACAATCATTGTTCCTAGATGATAGAAAAGCTGTATCAAATTTCCTTTTTCTTACAATGCCAGACCTCTTTGATTTGGGTGTAACTGCAAAAATATTATGAAGAAATTTTTACGACAATGTCTCCCTTGTAAAGCTACATGAATCACATTATTATTTGGCCACTATATTTTTTGTTTTACAAGGTGTGTAAGTATTTACCAGACTGAAAAGAGCTATATTGCATGTCACAATAAAATGAATACATGTAGGAAATGCGCTGAAGTGAAGTCAAATCTAAATAAGTGTAACTGAAAGAACATTTTAAGAAATCCTAAATTGACCTTACAATTTTCCTAAAGGGACCAAATTATGTATGGCTCCCAACAACATTTTCAATATGCACACAGCTTCATTGCTCAATTATATTAATTTTAATTTTGTTTTGTGTTTGCTACAAAAAAGTTGTATGTCCGGGGAGAAACTGAAAACCAGAACCAACATGTTTTACAAAATGAGCCACCAATTATTAAAAAGAACTTGGTTTAGTGATTTAATTTGCTTCCAGTTAAATCCATTGCTTAGTAACGGTAAAAATGAATTAAGCACATACCAATTGGCTGGGTAATTTAAAAAGTAATCCACTGTTTTTTCCCTCTCTTTTGTTTTGTTTTGTCTTTTTTTTTGGAAATGTGTTCTTTTCAAAGAGGGATTAAGGCTTAATACACCACTCAAAATTCACTGTCACTGAATAAACTCTGAAAAATAATGTAAGGCATTTTACAATGAAAAAGCAAACATGACTCAACCAAACTCTACATGATAGATACATGTACCTGCAAATTGTCATGGTTGCGTTATCAGGTGATCACACTCCAGTGTCAAGCGTTTGAACACAAGCTCATCAATGTACTGCTCTTGCATCAAGTATCTGACAGAATCCAGGAAAAACTTGTAAATTTATAGTCACACATATAACAGCACTGTAACAACTGTCAATCAAAACTAAAAAAAATTGCACACTACAATCAGGAGTAAAAAGCAAAAAGATCAAATCACTGTTGAGAACAGTTCAAACCAGTCAATCTTTCTGTTGTTAATTACTACATGTAGGAAACTTATAGCTGATTTACCCTTTCTTAAAAAGCTACTACTTTTTGTTATTGCCTTCTGCAACAGTATATATTTGCAAGCTATATCATATGAAACATATTCAAAAACACACTGTAAATCTTTGAACCAAGAATTAGAAGGGGCAAAATATATATTAAGTTGTGTCTACATGCACTTAACTTTGTATAGTTGTTTTTTCATTAGGCATGCAATACATCACACTTTTCTATCATTCACTACTGACTATTAACTCATGCAAGATGTCAGGAAAAAATGAGGAGATGGAAAATCACAGGCCTGTAAAGCCACAATGACATAGGTTCATCATTACAGGTACAATAAACAATAGATTTTTGACCACCCTCTTTTTCTCAAAATTAGTTTTAACAACTACCTACACTTCTACAGAGCCTCTTCTTAAACCACTAGTCAAGGAGGTTGGCTCTGTCTCAAAGAACTTATATAAATGGTCTTAACCCTTCATAAAGAATAAGAGGAAGCTACTTTGGCCAGTTACCATGGTGATATCAGTAACTACTGGGAGAAAGGAACAGGTTTACCTGACAGGGGTCCAGAGGAAATAAATACAATGGGTGTGTGCTCATTGCATGCATTTGATGATCTGTTGAAACAAAAAAGGCTATGATGACCAAGTATATTCACTGAAACAGCCATTGAGGCCATGACTGTCTACGGAAGAAAGAATCTTCAGCAGTTTTTGGGAAGCAAGCGAAATACATAGTGACAAATTGTGGTGGAGAGAGATGGAGCAAAATATTCAGAGAGAACTTATAGCTAAAAGCTTCAAAAAGCCAGTGAAAATTACCCTGAAATTTTTATTCATTGTCACATATTGTCCACAATCCACAAAATGAAATCTTTGCAATGCTAATTCATGCAGCTGCATGTAATCCATACAGCATTTTAAAGGAATCCTGTTCAGGTAATAACTTTTCAATACAATTTGGTGTTAATAAGCACATGTAAGTTTTTCAAAGACAACATAATTGCAAGAGTGCATAAGGCAAGTGCAATTTGTACACGTGTAGCACTTATTCATAATTTCAACAGCATACTATTAATTTTATAATCTGCACTTGTGTTACAACTTCGCACTTGTGCTGCATGAAAATGCACTTGTTCTCAGCCAATAAGAAGTGCATAATTTTTTCATGTATATTATCATGAATTTAATTGTCAAACTTTACTAATGACCACTCACATTGAAATCTTTAAGAATGGAAAGACTTACAAACAAAAGGGATACTTACTTGATAGTCTCAATGAAATTGTTTTCTTCACAGTCTTTCAACACAATAAGAGCCATCCTCACAGAGGCGCATAACTGTGAAGCTAATGCAATGCTTGATTCCTTCTTAACAGTAAATCCTGATAGTCTCCAGCTTCTTGATGATGATTGTGTTGAATCTGAACTTTTTGCTGAGGACACATACATGCATGCTCCCTTTCCACTTTCCTTTTCCTGTAATTACAGTAAGTTGGCCATATTAATACAGCTGTTACACTTGTAAAATTCACCAAACCTGACTACCCATTTATTAACTTACTATTATAATAATACTTATTATTGTCACTTACTATTTAAAAATAGTAAGCAACAAGGAAAAGCTCCTCTTGCATCAAGTATCTGACAGAATCCAGGAAAAACTTGTAAATTTATAGTCATAACAGCACTGCAACAAATTGCTCAGATGAAGGGCTAACGCTTGAAACATCAGCTTTTTTACCCTTTACAGTGGCTGATTTACGTTTTCAACTCAGTTGTTAACACTAAATTACCTACTATACTCTCCCACTGATGCAGCACCACAGTTTCTTTAGAAACTTTCCCCCTTATTCATTACTACAGCTGAGTTACCCTTTATAAAAAAGCTATTGCCTACAAAAATTGTACTTTTTGTTATTGCCTTCTGCAACAGTATATATTTGCAAGCTGTAACATAAGAAAATAATTGTTCAAAAACACACAGTAAAATTAATCTTTGAACCAATACTTAGAAGAGGCAAAATATATAAGTTGAGCCTACATGTACAGTACATGTACATGTACATGTACATGCCCTTGACTCTGTATGGTTGTTAGTTTTGGTAGGCATGCAATACACTACACTTTTCTACCATTAAATTTATTACTGTATTAACTCATGCAAGATGTTAGGAAAAAATGAGAAGAGATGGAAAATCTCTGGCCTGTAAAGCTTCAATGACATAGTTTCATCAATACAGGTACAATAAACAATAGATTTTAGACCACTCTCTTTTTCTCAAAATTAGTTTTAACAATACCTACATTTCTACAGAGCCTATTCTTTTGCTACTGATCAAGGAGGTCAGCTCTGTCTCAAAGAACTCATATAACTGGTTTTAACCCTTACTAAGGAATAAGAGAGGGCTACTTTGGCCAGTTGCCATAGTGATATAAGTAACCAGGGAGAAAGGAACAGCTTTACCTGACAGGAGTCCAGAAGAAATAAATACAATGGGCGTGTGCTTGTTGTATCATCATCCTTCGGTGATCTGTTGAAACAAAATAGGTTATGATGACCAAGTATATTCATTGAAACAGCCACTGAGGCCATGACTGTCTAGGAGAGAAAGAATCTTCCACAGGTTTTGGGAAACAAACACCACAAAATACATAGTGAAAAAATTTTGGTAGAGAGAAATGGAGCAAAATGTTCAAAGAGAATTTACCGTAGTTTCTTGGCTCTATAGGCACATGGTTTTTTCCGAAAAAATTCTTTCCTCAATTGGAAAGTTATGCTGAAATTGAGGTGCATCTTATAGCCAAGTATTTTTGCACAAAAAAATCTTGATATCACAATTTTAGCAGAACTTTTACTGTAGTTAAAAAGACAAGAAAAGGACACTAACTGTTTAGAGAAAAAGGAGAAAAAGCAGAGCTTTTTGGTCTGAGGTGTAGCGAAGATTACATCGAATTCAAACTTTTATTCCTATGAATTAAAAATGAATACTGCTTTTAGAACACTTAAAACAACTTCTATAAAAAAGCAAACAAGTGGAAATTTGCACACATGCTCAAGAGCACGTGCTTGGTAACATGATATCCAACTCAGGTCTTTTGGTTTATAGTGTTGCAAGGATACACACTTTGCTATCATCGGCAGCCCACCAGAAAACAGGCTTAATGTTGCTGATTGCATCATTTTCTCACCATGAATTCTGAAATGCCATATATTCATGGGCAATTTCACGATTGTTGTTGACTGCCTCAGCTTTGGCAACAATTTTCAACTTGAAGTTGAGGTCATATCAGTGACGGCAAGTGCTTAGCATATTTGCAATCGAACAAGAAGTTGAAGTTAAACTCTGACTGTTTAGGATGAGAACGCATCAGTTAGTTTTACAACTGAGTTTTAAATCAGTTGGTTGATATTTAACCCTTTAACTCCCATGGCCTGACCAAGACAGAATTTCTCCTTAAAATATTTATACAATAGCAACTAGATAAGTGATGAGATTAAAGGAAAAGATCAATTTGGGGATAATTACTTGATCCAAAACAAAATTCTCTGAATGAACATTGTAAGAATTGTATGGTTGATTGTAAGGAGAATTACAAATTGGATCTGGGAGTTAAAGGGTTAATAGAATGAAATCAGGATCATTGAATATTCATAATCAGGTGTGAAATTTTAGCCTTGGTTTTTATGTAGATCATTAAATGTGTGACTTTTTCACTTTTATTTACATTTTAACAAAAGAGTTTGCATGCCAGTTGTGTAGGAATAATTGTTCTCAGTTCCATTAAATCCTTTTGTTAACTCTCATCCTTTTGGTGCATCTTATAAGCAAGTATTTTCACGTAATTTTCAGTCTGGGAACTTGGCTTGACTAAGTTATTAAGTTTGAGGTGCATCTTGGAACCAAGTTTGCCTTATAACCGAGAAACTATGCAAAAGTTATTGAAAGCAAAATGTTCAGAGAGAATTTATAGTTAAAAGCTTAAAAAAGCCAGTGAAAAATTACCCTTAAGTTTATATTGTCACTTATTGTACACAATCCACAATGTGGATTTGACCACTCACAATGAAGTCTTTAAGAGTGGAAAGACTTACAAACAAAGGGGATACTTACTTGATAGTCTCAATGAAATTGTTTTCTTCACAGTCTTCCAACACAATAAGAGCCATCCTCATGGAGGCACATAACTGTGAAGCTGATGCAAAGCTTGATTCCTAATGTTAACAGTAAATCCTAATGGTCTCCAGCTTCTTGATGATGATTGTTGTTGAATCTGAACTTTTTACTGAGGACACATACAGGCATGCTCCCTTTCCACTTTCCTTTTCCTGTAATTAAAGTTGGCCATATTAATGCAACACTTTTAAAATCAAATTCCCCAAACCTGATTGCGTATTAAATAGTCAGTTACAAGGACACACTCCTTACTCACAATCACTTTTCGTTTTTTTCACGATGGCCATATTGAACTAACAGCTAACAAGCAAATGGTGTATTTCTTACGAGTTTGTCCACGACGATAATCGACCTCTCGAGGAAGGCATGGTTTGTTTACCCACCAAGAGCTTTCAAACATCTACCAAAAACCCACAGCAAAACACATGCCCTGTTTAGCACGAGCAAGATTTTTAAAGTAAGGCTACTGAAACTTTTAAAGGATCGTATCGCCCGATGAAATGATAACACACAGACTCACCTCTCTTTGCAGTTGTAACAGAATCCTCACTTTTACTTTCGACCATTGTTTAATTGAAGCGGCAGATTGTGATATGATGTTGGACTTCATCCTCTGAAGGCACTGAAGTTCATAACCTTTTTTGCCTTTTTGCTTTGCACTAAAATACAGCCTGTTGAAAAACTCTCGCTCTTCTTACCAGCGCCAGCGCTCGCGACAATCATCCACGTGTTCTTTCTTGCATGATCTAATATATATTTCACCCAGTTCTCACCTAATCGTACCATTTTGGCACGCAGTCGAGCCAATATACCCCTGGTGATAACTACCGAGCCTGATTTTCTGCCGAAGCGTACCAGGAAGGTACGTCTAGTTATTCACTATTTCTAAATTCAGTAAAATCTCAAGTGATGTTATTTTGAAGTTACGGCGATTAAATATGTCAGGCACTCCATGGAGTGGCCGTGAGAAGAATAGTACGAGTCAACAAACGGCGCGAAAAGATGACGAGAGTTACAATACAGAACAAAC